AGAAAGCCACATGTCCCGTGGGGATAATGTCTGATGACAGTGGACGAGTCGCCATGACTTGGCTCGTAAAGGTGCAGTTGATGATGTGAGTGCCATTCCCCAATGTGACACAGCATGTACTTTGTAGTTAGCAACTCCCCTTTTTCCTGGAGGTAAGGAATATCTTGATAGAATGAAGTTGCCGTCCTCTTGCAGTTCTCACCAGGGCCCAGTACCATATGAAGCACTGCATCGCCATCAGATGTCCACAGACCAAAAAGATCACCGCCGGTCTCAACGTTAGGGTAACGGAGAACAAGGTTTTTCATCATCTCATAGTCTTCTTCGAAAAGGTATACCTTTAATTCATGCGGGTTGCACGCAAAGCCCGTCTCGAATCTGTGAAAGTCAGAGACTGCCAGATCAGAACATGATTGTCTCTCACCTTGAACGGTTTCTTCATATCGGTCGTCTTTGTCAGTAAAATTCTCTCCTCTGATGGCTTCTTTTCGATCGAGGACTTCAATTTCCATTTTTCTTGGGAAATAACTTTTATCGGATCGAATGAAAGCTGACATAAACTTGTCTTCTTTGCGTTCTATCATTAGAAACACAAAACTTTTTTCATCTGGCTGTGAGCTTCCACAGATTGCTACTATTTCGCTACTGATGTTTTCCCAAACACTCATGTACTTCCATCTGCCAACACAAGGCAGGTATGGGGCTTCTGGAAGGATTGCGTTTCTTGTGGCTGAGTTTTTTGCGTTGGTTACTCTGTGCAAGACAGGCTCGCCATCGTTTGTCCACAAACCGTACAAATCTCCCCCAGCCTCCGCATCTGGGTGACAACAAACAACATCCCTAATCATTTGCAGGTGATCTTGGAACATATACAGCTTTAGTTTGGGATCACTGTTTTCGAGAAAGGTTTCGGGATTCTTCGAGGTGATTTTGTCTGATGTTTGATTTTCATAACTTTCTCTTTTGTCGGGAGCTTCCATTTCCTCTCTATTCCCTCCTACTCTCGTAGCTAAGCCCGCGCTGTTTATGTTTTCCTCCCAAAAACTGCCTCTGTCGATGAGGGAGTCAACAACACTTGCTATGTCGTCATCTTCTTTGTATATACTATGTCTAGGAAGTGCATCCGCAATTTCTCCTCTCGTGATTGAAGATTGTGATAGAAAATAAGGATTTAGTTCCACTTTTGGTGACTGATCATCACAACTTGCCAGTATGAGTAGAAAATCCCTCATTAGTCCAGCCCTTCTAGAAAGCGTGTTTTGGCCAACCGTCGAGATTATTTCCGTTTCAGTTTGCTCTGAACGAGGCATATACTGCCATTTTCCTAAATGAATCAAGTGGAACTTATTTCGTAGTCTGGTGTCAAGATCCTCGATTCTCGAGTCGAAGGAAGTGTTATTTGACGAGAACACTTGCTGAGGTGAACTGACAGTTTCTATTCCCTGGCCAGTAACTATGTGAAGAACAGGTTCACCGTCGTTTGTCCACAGACCAAACAGATCTCCGCCTGTGTTTCTTGTGGGGTGAAAGCGAACAAGCAATTGAATCATATCATAATCGTCTTTAAAGAGGTAAACTCTTGGGTTTGTTTCATCATCAGCTGCCATTGCTGCTTACTTCGAACATGAATCCATCGACTATTACTGCGCTCAAATCACTTTCAAGCAACGCTTTTCTGACTTTTGTTAACAAATGATATACGCGCATTTATCAAATGACTGAAGCTCTTCCGAGAAAAGGGTATATTTTGGTTTCAATGTCGTTCAAGGTCAATCGAGAATCTGTAAAGACGTTTAAAAGCAATTGCGACCTAGAGACGTTACTTTCGATCTCGGGCATGTTAACAATAAAACAAAAATTTCATTTTTGATTGTTACCTCAGTTTCGACCAACGATGTTTTTAACACCATCATTGTTATTCTTAAGTGTTCCGCGTTTTCCGGGAAATGTTTTTTACGTTTACAACAGTGATATCTTCCTTTTGCGTGACAGCTAACAATGAGTTTCTCGGAAAAAAAATTTCACTGCAAGGAATATAATTTTATTTATCACGTTTTCTGGGAATTGTTTTTGAAGTTTACAACAGTGATGTCTCTGTTTTGTGCGACAGCTGCCAAACATTCGGAGAATCTTTCACTGACAGAAAATATAATGTCAGTCATCGCCTGATATGCAAATAACAAAAATTCAAAATTGCATATGTATTATAGCCTTCACATGGCATACATTTCCATCTACGTGGGGTCCTTTATGTGTCTCTTGTAATGAATCATGCAATTCTTTGCCTATAAAAGTTTTTATGTGATCAAATTATTTAAAAAGAACGACTCTCCCAAGCAAACCATCCACTGGAAGCCATGCCTTCTATGACCTGTCTGTCCCCTGATGAGTCTGGCTCACTTTCCACGGTCAGTTTTCCAGTCTGCAGATCAAACACCAGCTTTTCTTTCTTTCCAACATCTCCTCCTCTAGCGATAACTTTAAGACGGCTAGCCACAACTTCTGATTTCACTACATTTGTCACGCCATTCTCCCCTTTCACTTCTTCGTCTTTCTTGATTACAAACCTAAAGTCGAATTCTCTTGCATCCTGTTCGTTCTTTTTCTCTGTTTGGTCCATTGCGTTACGATTCTGACAGCTTACAGCAACTAAGGAAATTTTTATCAAGGAAATATATTATATAACATTTAATAGATATGTAATTGCCAAAGGGGTAAAGCCCTTGCGGAACAATTGACTTCGCTTTGCTATGCAAAATATTATTTTACATCGACAATTGGTTTGGAGAACTTTAGTCACACAACATGCCTACAAAGTCCTTTCTAAGAAAAATATAGACATGACGTCATTTTGACAACTAGTTAAATGAGAAAACATCCTGAAACCGAAAGTGAGCGACGCTGTATTATCGCAAAGCGACAGCAACCATTATCGTCTACGCGGAGAAACAAAAAACTTACCGAAAGCTGATCTCGAAAATGTCGTCAAATCCTCAACGCATTCAGCAGCACCTTGAGAACAGAGGAAGCGGCTCTGAGGCGCTGGTTTTCGACCCTGCCACCGGAAAATTGATGGTAAAGCCGCAACAAGAGGCCCAAAATTCCGATCGTACGGTTATGCTGGACATGAACAAGAGTGGATCTGGAGGCTTCTTTAACTACATTGCATACGCCTTCCACTTGCGACAAAGAATCATCAAAGACTATGTTTTGTGTTCGTGAATTATGGCAACGAAGAAGGAAAGAGCATCTTTGGAACAATTTCTGGTCTGGTCAATAATGGTTGACGCGACATTTGCTTCGAATTTTGGTTTCATTGTAACGATACTTCATTCTAAAGGACAGATTTCTTTCACGTAATACTCGCTTCATGCAAAGCTGTATAGACTGATTGAACTGTATCAAACGAGTTCGTTCGAGTATTTGATGTCAGTGGTTGTTTAGTAACGTTGTGGAGATATATTGTATCAATAAATTTTATAAACCTGCTATACACGTTTTACTTCCTTTGCCTGAATCAAATATTCCAGAAGGTAAACTTCATTTTAAGGAAAGTTTCACATTTCAAAACAGTGTTGTTGCATATAGAGTAAGTTTAACTGGAACTTTCTTCGGTAGGAATGAAATATGTGTGCTAGAAATATGCTTCCGCTCGAATCAAAGAAACCGAAGCATAATATCGGATGTATTCATCGGCTGCAGTGTACTTAGTGCTTACATCATTCAACCACTTTAATCCCTATTTCTCAGAAAAAGCTTCATACGGTTAGTGAGGGACTTTTAGCCTTTTCTCAGAAACTGTGTGACAAGGTATATCTACTTGTTTAAAAAAATCACGCGAAAGTTGGATAAATATAGCGACAATGCAGAAATTGAAGCAATCACGAGCACCTTCTAGATACAACATAGATATTTTATTGAATATAACTTTTAGCGAACAATGATTTAGAAGCAATCTAGTTTCTATCCTAAAGTAAAAGTTTCCCTATTGTGCAGAGACCATCAATAGCTCTAAGACTAACCAGTGATATATTCCATTTTGGCGGACGAATTATAACAGGTTATTTAGGCTCGATGGCAATTTTGAAGAAGGTAAATTAACTAAAAAACCAAACCTATGGCAAACAGTGAACATAGTCTTTCATTGCAACAAATTGTTCTTATAGATCTAATATATAAGTCATTTATCTGTCTGAAGACGAGAAAAAGTCGACATTTTCTGCACTAGCTCCCATATCTTGGCATGTCTTGCAATCGGGTTTTCTCTCGCTCGTCATGGGATACCATCTCAGAATTCCAGGCTGATCAAACCGGTGAAAGCCTTCGGGTGGGTATCCAGCGTACTGCTGCTCTCTGCGGTTTGCCCACATGTAATAGGGAGCCTCTAGATCCTTCTCCAGTGTGGCCAGTGCACTATCCTTACCCCGGCACAGTTCCACTAAGGCCAGCTTCACCAGCATGTTAGCAACTGGAATGATGTCAGAAGACAGCCCAACTTGAATCGTGGCTTTCACTTCGTCGTCTCCAATGTAAGGAGGATTGGCTTCGCGGGCTTGACGGAATGAGGACATCTCCTCTGCGGAGGCTTCCATCGCGGCATCAGCATAGATGCACGAGAAGCACGGGCCAGCCTTTGGTCTCACTCTCAACACTTCTCCTCCAGCAGCTCTGACAGCACATTTTCCGTAGAGAGTCGTGATACCAAGCTCAATTGATAGCGTATTGATGTTGAGCCTGCTTCTTATGTTGTCAGTCGCGGCGATAATAACATCGCATCCTTTCAGAATTTCTCTGGCTTCTTCTAGGCTGTTGATGTTGGTGTTGTGTATTTCTACCTCTGCAAATGGATTCTTGTCCAAGATATGGTCTCGCATGACATTGGTCTTCAGACGTCCAAGATCGCTCAAGCCGCAAACATGGCGAATGATGTTATGCAGCTCAATTCGATCATAATCGACGAGGACAAACTTTCCAACTCCAGCTTTAGCAAGTTCTATTGCCACGTGGGAGCCACCACTTCCAAGACCAACCACTGCAACTTTTCGTTCCTCCAATAATTTCGACTCTAATATGCCACGGCTTCGTGAATAGAGTTGCGATTTCCGCGGTTGCCGCAAAACAGCCGCCTGCTCCAAAGGATCAGTTGACTTTGGTCTCACACAAGCTCTGACATGGTCATCTTCAGATACCAGGATTGCAATCTGTGGTTCTTCGAGCGCAGGAAGAGTGGAAACTAGATCAGAAGCAATTTTCTGAACCTCTTCACACGAAGGTAATTCTCGAAAGATCTTGAAGGCGACTCGCTTTTCTGGTTCATCTTTATTGTTACTTTCCACGCGGACATGGATTGTGTCACAATCGTCAAATACTGTCACGGAAAACCGCTTTTTAACAGCTTCTTTATCTCTAAGAAGATCGGTAAAATTAGGCTGCAAAAAGCAGACTACTTTGCGCTGATCGTCTTTGTCGCTCATCGTATGTAAATCTTTTTCCTCCTGACAAAACCAAAACTACAACAGTTTACTGAAATTGAAATGTATAAGTTGATATTTATCATTTCTGGGAAATTCAACTATGCTTTGATTGGTTGATCAATTTCGTGTGAAGCTTGCTTTTTCTCGGAATTCAAGAAACAACAGAACAAATCAAGTTTCAAAACTCTTTTTATCTGGCCTCGCTTTTGTTTCCCGCACAAGTCTTCTTGGAAACAGCCTCGCAACATTACGTTGTGAAAAAAAGCTTATACGACTGCAGTCAATTTTTTTCGTCATGCCACTCGTTATCTTATTCAGCCTGAAGTGCTTAACGCAAAACTGCAAGATTATTTTGCGTTAGTCTTGAAAAACATATACTGTTGTTTATTTTAGCGACAAATATTCGGCATAATTATAGGAAATTGTACTGTGTCATGCTACAGAAGTTTCGAGTTATGAAACATCTTCCTTAATTTCCGGGAATCCTCTCTACACGAACCAAGCATGTCAAGTTGAGGTGTTTGTCACGCAGAAAGTACGAGAGGACGCATGTAGTAATGAGAATCATTAAAAATTGAAAGCATCTATTAAAAAAAAAAAACACAAAAACACAAAAAGGAAAAATCTGTTTCATTGATGTAATATTAAGAGCAACAAGATAAAAATTTTCAATTTTATTAACGCGAGATATCGGTAATTCAGGAGCGTTACAGGCTCATATGACAAAAATAGAAATTGATTAATTTGCTTAACCATCCTTTTAACTCAGAACTTTAGGTTGCACAAAACTCGTTTTAAAGCTTAGGTTCCAAAAGGTGGAAACTTAGCAAAAGAAGTATTTCCTCAAGGTTTTTACGGATCACAGGAGTGCCCGATGGAATTTAAGTAAGAATTTAAGAGAGCAAGGAGTCTGACACGAACCACAACGGTCGGAGGCAAGTATTCCATCTCCTCGCTTCTTTCCCCCTTTTTCATTGGAGTATACTTTGCTCGCTCTCGGGCAGCGTTGAGGAAATACTTTTGCGGGTCTCCAATCTCGCCTCTGATTAGACCTGCGAGCTTTAAACTCGCTCGAGAGTTTGCGAGGGAAAAGGGTTTTGGCTAACCGCAGAGGAACTTATGATATCTATCATCTTCGATCACTCAAAAATCCCATTCGGTAAAAAGAGTGGGGAAGGAGGAGCAGGTTAGGTTAAGAGAGTTATTGTTCCCTATCATTCTCACGACGCAGGCATAAACGACCACAAAATTAGGATCTGAAGCATCATTATTCAGCTCAATGATGATACATCGATCATTCCCTTCAAAGCACTGAGCACCACAGCTGATCTCGCATGGTAGTACTTAGGCTGTATGACAACATGTTTTCGAATATTGTTGGATTCAGGTGAATAAGTCTATAGCTGTATTTGTTCTAGAGAAACAAACAGCGTAACAAAATAAAAAAAAACCACACAGGATTTAGTAGCTGAATAAATCTGTAAATGAGGGAAATGAGACACGTTATTTTAAGTATCATGGAACCGACTGAATTTTATTTGGGAGATTGAAAACTTGAATCAGGCCATAATAGACGATATACATTCCCGGCCGAAGTCTGAGCCAGGTCACAGATTTCATCTGTTTGAATATTCAAACAGGAACTTTTTATCCGGAAGCGTGAATGGCCAAATCAACTTTTGGAACATTAAGAAAAGCACTAAGTATCACAATGAACAGAGCAAACCAAAACGTAGCTACATGCTGTTCGCTTCCATTCATACTAACTAAATTTCCCTTGGAGTTACGATTAAGCAGGTTATTATAAACTGACTTAAAATTTCTATCTGTACTGAAGAAAAAATTCAGCTCGATCTGTATCAGTACATCGTATCAACTTCTTTCCTATGATCTACATTACTGAGCAGCATTTGCAGCACTTGGTGGCCGGGGTTTTTGACTCGTCACGAACCATCAAGGGTTGCTTGACATCTCGCTCCTCCCTGTAGCCGCTAACAACTTCTTCCGGAGAATTTATTTCGCTACTTTCATTGAGACCTCCTACTGTGCAGTGCTCGGCGGCCGGGTTTTTTGACTCTTCACGAACCATCAAGGGTTGCTTGACATCTTCTTGCTCCTCACTGGAGCCACTAACAACTTCTTCCGAAGAATTTATTTCGTTACTTTCATTAAGACCCTCTGCTGTGCAGTGCTTGGCGGCCGGGTTTTTTGACTCTTCACGAACCATCAAGGGTCGCTTGACATCTTCTTGCATCTCACTTGAGCCAGTGATAACTTTGTTTAGAGAATTTATTTCGTTACTTTCATTAAGACTTTCTGCTGGATACTGCTTGGCAGCCAGGTCTTTTGACTCGTCACGAACCATTAAGGGTCGCTCGCCATCTTCTTTCATCTCACTTGAACCAGTGACAACTTCGTCCAGAGAATTTATTTCTTTATTTTCATTGAGACCCTCTGCCCCTTCTATTAAGCTTGGGTTGCGTACACATTTAGAGCGGAAAGGGCTCTCTGTTGGCAAGAGCTTAAATCTTCCTGAAAACAACTTTCGATGACTGGTTTTGCTCTCTTTGAATAAAAAACAGCCGACACTCACCGAGTCATATGTACTCTCGTGTGTTTCAAAATTGGCAATGAACAACAAAAAGCGACTCAACCCATATTTAGGCATGTTTGTCCACACTGTTCGTTTATCTCCGTTACTCGGTTGCTTGAGGCCGATTTTATGATGGGAATGCCATTCGCCAATATGGCAAAGTCCTTCCTTACCAGTCAAATGAGAGCCAACCTTCTCTAAGTACTCAACGTCTTGGAAGAACGAGGTGGTAGTTCTCTGACAATTTATACCGGGACCCAACACGAACTGGACCACTGCCGTGTAATCATCGTACCACAGACCGAACAAATCTCCACCCGTCTCAAGATCTTGATTTTTGAAAACCCAAGCACAAATTTGCTTGTACTCGCTGACGTAAATGGCCACCGTGAATTCTTTATCTGTGGACATAAGGAAAGTAAACGGGTCAACTCGATCCTTTTGAAATAGAAAAAAAGACCTGTCTCGGGTAGGATTGTGTCTGATCTACAGAACATTTCCTAGAAGCGAAACAAGGGAACAAGAATTCGTTGAGATATTAGTATTTCTCTCAGCGTAAACCTAGCGTTTCCCGCGAATAGGGGCGAATAATCTCAGTGGTCTCTTAGAAAAATGTAGCTAGCTTTCATGGAGTGCTTGTGAGGATATGACATGACTACCTTATTTGTTTAACCACGCTAACTTAGTTAAAAAATATTCTTCGTCACTGCAACTGTGCAGAAGAAAGTTCGTTTTCATATGTTTTGATGTTACTAAATTTAGATATGATAGATCGCTTTCCGGGAAACAAAGGAAGCCCTGAGTCTTCATTGCGTTACTCTGTAGTTGCGTCACGCACACCCTAACAATCAACAATCAACTTGTTCAATCAAATTTTAATAAGCTTTATCATCATGGCAGTCTTTGCTCTACGACTGTACAATTTGCACTAGGCATGATAAATGTACTTTGCTCAGAACTGAATGGAAAATGTGCTATAAATTAACCTTCTTCATCTTCTTGAAATTTATTACCTCAGTTAAAAATAAACTTATCATTTGCAACAATATTGACTCGCAAAATGCTACTTTCTATTCAAGCAAAGTTGATTCATGGTATCAAGAATCTTTTGCTTAACTACCTTAGGTGCAAGTCTCGGAAGCTGTAAAGGCATTCTTAACTTGATATTCAGAATATCAAGTATAATAAGCGTTAATTCGCTAAATTCAAGGTTTCTTTAACTAACAATTAACACTGAAATGAACTAGCTGCGACTTGCAAAATCTATGATTATAATTGGTTTTGAATAACACATCTGCAATTATATCCATAATGTGACATTAACAGCTCTTCTCTTTCTTCAGTTCCTGTTCATTCGCTTAACCAATGAGTTAAGAATTATGCTAAACGTCTTCCATTTGTAAGTCCCCCTGCAATGTCGTTGCATGTTTATGCTGGATTTTAGTTGAATTTTTTGTTGAATGAAAGTAATTTAACTGATCCAAAAAACCTGCTTTCTCAATAAATAAGAAAAAAACAACAGGACAGGCGTTCGATTTTTATCACCACTATGAAAAGCAATCTGTGCTTTGTTTTACAGCAATACACAGCGGAATTGAAAAGAAAAGCGCCTTCTTATTTCATAAAGAATTGACAGCCTACCATCTTCATTGCCACCGCCCCGTTCTTCATCAAATGGCTGCCTTTGTGTAACTACAGGCCGCTCTTTGGGCACGGAGATAGCCTTCTTGGATAATTCCAGTAAACCCACTTTTTCCTCCTGGTTCAGACACTCTGCATCTTCCGCGAAAACATCATGACACCTTGAACGGAAGGGGCTTTCATTTTTCAATAAAACGAATTTTCCCTTCCGAACCGGCTTCCTCTTGTTGGTATTCTTCTCGAATTCGAACAGGAAGCATCCTGCGCTGGCGGATAAATCTCGGTTTTCAATGTTTGCAATGAACAGTAGAAAGCGACTCAGCCCATATTTAGGCATGTTTGTCCAAACCGTTCGTTCATCTCCGCCACTTGGTCGTTTAAGACCAATTGTGTGATGAGAATGCCACTCACCAATGTGACAGAGCCCTTCCTTGCTAGTCAAATGGCAGCCAACCTTCTCCAAGTAATTCACATCTTGGTAAAACGAACCCGAAGTCCTTTGACAATCTTTGCCAGGCCCCAAAACGAGCTGGATCACTGCAGTGTGATCATTGTTCCAAAGCCCGAACAGATCTCCGCCGGTTTCTAAACTTCGCTCTTTTAAGACCCAAGCGCAAATTTGCTTGTATTCGCTGGCATAAATAGCCACACGGAATTCTCCTTGACTGGACATCAAGCGGCAGAATTAGAAACCACAAATGATATATGAAAGTGGCTAAAATGGTGCTTCCGGATAAGTTGAAACTGATTTGGTTTTCTTCAAAGGAAGAAAGAACACTCTGTTTTCGAAAACAGCGAAAATGAAGCAATGTATTCATGAGTCAACATAATGGTTGTTTTTCTAACTTGAATAATTATGATTTCCCGGAATTGCTTAATTTATTCAGTCAGGGATCTAGAGCGTATCGAGACCTATTTTTGTCTTTTTGCATAGAAACAAATTCAACTCTACTTTTTAAAGCATCTTTGTCTTTTTCACTGAATTTATTCGGCGAGCTCTGACTAAATCTTCTGTGGCTGTGATGTATCTGAAAACTTCTAAAAACTACGATGCTTCACAGCAAATGGTTTTAATAATTCAAAACTATGAAAGGCAATATTTGTTTGTTAATGATTTCTCAGAAAGCTATTAAACTCTAGCCGTTATGTCGAGCAGAATTATGACCTCCAGCGTACAGGAAGTTGTTGAAATAATAAGATTAAAATAATACGTGTCGGCATACATCACTAACTCAGATTCTACTCTCTGAATATCTTAATAAGTGGATACATTTGTGCGGTGCTTTCCATTTTATTCTAAATACCTTCAAATCTTGGACAGAACAAAAAAAAAGCAACTATCCCCTAGCTAACCATATTCTGAGTGTCACTGAATGAAATGACTATGATTTCTAAGAAACCAGTTTGGTTATTCGTATCATTAACTTAGTGGCTAAGATTGTATTTCATTCTCATTTCGTGACACATGAAAATTGACCATTCGTTTCTGGGAAATGCGTACTTCGTAGAATAATTTTGATTGTATGAAACAACCAAGCAGGACTTCTGTAACACTCATCAAGCCATCCTCAAAGTGAAAGCATCGAGGAGAGTCGCCCTCTTAAGAATGAGTTGGAGCAAACAGCAACAAACACGCCTGGGATTTGAAAAAGACATAATAGATGGCAAGCTGAATAACGTGACTTGGATCAACCCCAGGTCTGCTGGAAATACCAGAGTCGAGTGGCGAGTGAACACAAACAATGGGAACAAATACACGCTTCGTGTTTACGTCCCGGAGGAGTTTCCAAACGAATGCCCCGTATTAGTTGTAAGTTCTCCTTCTTCTGTTTTACGGAAGAAGGACGGATCTCTTCTCCAGGAGGCTAGCGGCAAAGATCACGTTTACGGTATATACGATGGTCTGACGGAAATTTGCCATTTCCGTAAGGGCTCTTGGTCGAGTGAAAACACCATTTACCAAGTGTTGATGAAAGGTCGCATCTGGCTGGAAGCGTACGAGATCCATCGGCAAACTGGTGAATATCTTGAGAAATATCTAGCACACATGAACTGACTCAAAGGAAAAACCCTATTCAAAAATTTTAACTGCGTTGCAACATAAACAGTACGGAGGAAAAAATTGCCGTTGAATTAGCTTAGAGATGAACAAACTATTACGATATTTGTAGCCTGAAATATTGATTCTCATTAACTCCTACCGAACTTACCAGCATAGAGAAGCGTAAAAGTAATGAGTTGAGAGACTGTCACTCGATTTTTATGTCAAGAAAATGTCTCATTTAAGGGTAATGTATTAAAAGGATTTCATTCAATTGTCTGTGTGTAGGTACTTCGGTGTTTGTGTGCGAGGAAGCTTGATATTTCTTAACAAGATACTAGCTCTGACAGATCTATTTGGGGCATCTAATGCTGAAGAACTTAAGAGAGTGTCATCAAATATTTCCTTCAAAGTTGATGTACTGATATATTTGGACTTAGTGGTCCATGTGTGCAGTAAATTAGAAAGGTTTTCGATTTAATACCTCAACAAAAGAAAATCTTGTTTACTTTCATTTTTCTGGGAAAAAAAAAATGATTCATCGCATTGAAATCCGGCGAGGTGGACATTCCCTCGACCAGTAAAATTTTATTGACGCATTAGATAAAGTAGATGTGATAACCCATGCTCTATATAAAAGCAGTATCACTCGTGCGAACTAACTCCTTGGAAAACCCTATGTACGAAGGATTTGTTTCCACTGCAGTAACACCGACATTGTTTTCCTTGAAAGCTGATATTGACTGACAATAGCATGATTTATGGAATACATGAATTAAAAAACGAATTAGTGCCTAGTCGCTCCATTTTCTAGTTATTTAGAGAATCTCTCGGTTAAACGATAAAAGGTCCCTAAGAAGCAACAAGTAAAAGATACAAAGAGCCGTCCGGCCCGGTGTAATATCTAGTGAAACTTTAAAGACAAAGTCTACTCCTTTAATAGCGATGTTATTTCTCCCTCGCACGGACTACAAGTTTCCCTGTCGTAGGGTCGAACATCAACACTTCTTCTGTGGAGCTTCCTTGCAAGGTTTCCCAAAAGTTTTCACTCCTTTGATAGGGATTTCGTACCACCCTATCGCGGGCTTGAATTTTTCCTGTTGCAGGGTCAAATACCAAAACGTTGTCGCTATTGGAAGAAGACTGAAAGAAGTCTGTGTTCAATGAGTCGCTGTTATCAGAAATGATTTTAATCTGTGCTGCTTTGGCGCGCGCTTCCTGTCTTGTCATAACTGCCATCTTTCCTGTGGAAAGGACTACGACTAAGATGAACCCAGAATACCGTTCAGGGTTTTGGGAGAACTCGGTCACCGATGGACGACGTGAGCTTTGACTGATATTATTAGCTTGCTCATATAAAGCGGAGATGATGTCAGGCAGTGAGTTGTTATTTCGAGGCACACGTCTACTTTCCTCAGCACCCATGATCGATTCGAAGAACTTCACAAGCGATATTAGCAAAGTTTTAAGAGTTTATCTTTCACAAGTCGTCGCTCATCATTTGAATCTCAGGAAATGCCAATGTAACAAATAGAAGAACTGCGAAATAAATGCTTATTGCAAACCTCAGGTCTATCAACTTATGATTTCGTCATTCCTGAATACCGTTTCGTGGTTCAACATTCTTCGAACTTTTTGGTCAGCGGAGGTAAAATGTTTACACTTTCTGAGAAATTCGGGAAGCGCAGTTGGCGACTAGAAAGGTTCTATTCTCTCACCGTACCGTATCTTTTTGATAAAATGAAGTTTAAAAATTTTTTTTTGAAATAATTTAATTCAGGGAAAAGCAAGGGCATTAAAATCAGCAAAGTAAGAGAATTTACATTCGACGTAGAACAGGGTAAAATAGGTGACTGCGGTAACTGTAACTTTCCAACACCACGATTAACTAATACAAAGCCATTTAAAATTTCGACAATTAATTAAGTAAAGGCGATAGGAAAGAAATACAACCAACTTGAAACGACGATACTTACATTGTTACGATTACTGAAAAACTGCACTGGCACTCGACGAGAAAACATTGTCCAAAGACGAAATGAATAACGTAAATACTGCTCGAAAGCGAACTGCGACTAGCGCGACCACAGAAAAAAAGGGAAAGGCCCCCTGAATAAAGAAAAATAAGTTTCTACACGCAGGAAAAACTGAAAATTAATGCATGCGAAACTGGAAGTGTAACTGACGCCAATAATTATAAATGAAACAATAATGAACGAAAGTATGCGATATGGAAAACAAAAGAAGCTTACTAACCGGTGTAACAAAACATTTATTGAGACGACGCGAAACAGCAACAACACTCTAGAGACACCCCTAATTAACAATTGACAACATTCCGCTCGCTAAGATCTTACAACATAGTAATTCGCAGCCTCCAATAATTTCATTCAAACGTGACATAAACATATGCAACTTTTTGGACAGAAGTTAATTTCAAAGCAATGACCAACCTGGAACTTTCCAATGCGCTCGCTCACGATGCAAAACGTGTCCTTTCATTCATAGCGCAGAGAAAATGTCGGGACCCAAGAGATCCATTACGATCACTGATTACCTCACGTGTACCTCTGCCAATGTCATCTACTGCGTAATTAACTTGCACTTATTGCAAAAAGTTATACATCGGTGAAACGGGAAGACGACTAGATGACCGATGCCGAGAACACCTTCGCGATATGGAAAGAAATGATAAGGATGCACCCTAACCAGTCGCTAGACACTTCATTTCCGAACAGCCCCATACTACATTATGCATTCAGTTCTTGGATAGAGAAAACAATGACAAAGACAATACATTTCCACTGGGAAAACAGATTTGTTTTACAATAGTATGGAGCTCTGCGGAAATTTAACCAACACTTTAATCTCCCCAACCGTTCTAAGCAACATATGGCAGTTTGCGGCCTTCTCTAAATCTAAGCAGCTCGGAACGCTGCAAAACTCGAGAACAAAAATTTGTCTTTCAAATCGGCACTCTTATATTAGTCCTCACGTTATCAAAGAACGCTTTTCATTGAACTAATTCATTCTTGTGTTCTCGTCACTATATTCCCACCAATAGCGTAGCTCCATTTTCTGCAAATAATCCCACAGGCGACCCAAAATTCCTCCAGTCGCTCTAATGAAGTCTAATAACGCTCGAAACGTCGGCTTTTGAACTCTTTACAGTGGCCAATTTACGTTATCAACTTAGTTGATAATTCTAAATTACCCTTTCACACTCTCCCACCGACGCAGCACCACAGTTTAAGTTTAGAAACTTACCCCCTTTATACTTTCGAAGTAGTTTCGAAACTCTGCAGAGTACATAAAATTCGAATGTCTAAAACAGCTCCCCCCCCCTATAGCGACATTTGGGTTTCCACATCGTACCTGTCACAGTTGTACACTACACCTAACTGTTTATCGAAGATTTGATGAAGGGATAGGTCATACCGAAACACACAGAATGGATACTACAACATTATTTCATGAAGACAGGGATCCACAGAATAATAACGCTTTTTTGAAGGTAAGAGGTTTACGTATGTACATTCGCACGATTTTATCTAACCATCATCAGTTTTCATGGACGATTTGAACGCAGTAAAGTCAACGATAGGAAATTCTGTTTGAGATCAACGAAAATGTTTAGATTTATTGGTTTTTTTATGCGGTATTTGATATTTTTCGGCGGTGATTATCGATATTCACGATTTTTTTTTTCAAA